TTAAAAACAAACACACTCAAAAAAAAAAAAAAAAAAAAAAATTCTTATCTACTTATATATCTAAATACTAGATTATACTTATATTATTAATAATAGCTGCTACCTTATTAGCTATAGTATTATTACTAGTAGCTATCTTCTTACTATTAATACTTATATTCTTAAGTAGTAGAGTTTATAATAATTAACTCTAGGTAAAAGCTACTTACTTTGTTAGCTTTATATCTTTAGCTTTTAGTGCCTACTTTCTACTAATAGTTAGTAGTTATTAGTAATAATTATAAAAAAGTGTATTTTATCTTTTTAGCTATAAATCTTCTACTAGCTATATACCTTATCTACTAAAAGATAGTATAGCCTATCTCTTTTAGTTACTAGTAGTTAAAATACCTTAGTAATTAAATTAAGACTTACCTATAAACTATAGAATAAAGATATAAAGAATAAAGCTTAAGTATAACTATACTTACTATTATACTATTAATATAACGCTATCTTTCTAGTAAGTAGATATATTAAAGGCGTATTCTATTAAAGTAGAACGTAGCTTCTCTTACTTAGATAGGTATAAAATCTAGTAAATACGCGCTCTATTCTTATTAGATAGCTTATCTACTCTTTTATAATTCTTCTATAGTTACTTTAAATAATATACTAAGTTATAAAACTTATAGTAGTATTATATCTAGTAGTAGAAGACTAGTATATACCTACTTCTAAGCTATAAAAGTAAATAATATAGTTAGTATTAGATAAAGCTATATAAGCCTAGAAGCTTATATATATATACGTATAATAGCTATTTCTTTTAGCTATATCTAGAGCGTAGTCTAGTACTTTAAGAGCGTTAAAGTTTATAAAAACTTAGAGATAATAAAAAAAGCTATTATAATACTAGAGTGCATATACTACTTAGGTCTTAGTGTAACTTATATTTATATAAGCGTTAAGTATATTAACGTAATTACTAACTTCTCTATATTATCTATATACTAATAGTATATTTTACTATTTTTTTCTTATACGTTAATTAGAGTTATAAACACCTTAGATACTATATAGAGTATAACTTCTCTACCTCTTAATTAGCTAGACTAAACTATATTATTACTACTTTTAAAAATAGTAAAATAAGTAGTAATATTACTAGAAATTCTAGAGTAAGTTACTTGCGTAAAGAAGTTTATATACCTACTTAAGAAGTAAATACTATATAATATTAATATTAATATTAGACTAACACTAAACGTAGCTAACTATATAGAAGCTTTTAGAGACTATAAGTAAGTCTAGTAATATAACTACTAATATAATTTAAAAGATTAATTAGAAACTCTAAATTATAAAAAGAGCTCTTAAGTAATTATAAAGCACTATACTAAGTGTATAAGACCTAGCTTTAGACGTAAATAAGTAGCTAGTAGTATTACTAGCTTTAAAAAATAAAGCTAACTAAGTTAAGTATAGATAGAAGATAGCTAACCTACTATCTTACTATATTAATAATAGACTTAAAGCCTTTAAGACGTTAAGATTTCTAGAGAAGAAACTAGGTAACTACTATAGTTAGTAAGTCTACTAAAAGGCATCTAATTAGAGACATTACTAATTACGCTATACTACTTTAGATTATAAACTTTTCTATAAATTTAAAAGCGCTAGAAGTATTAGTCTAAAGATAATAATAAATATTAAATTCTTCTTCTAACTTATTTAACTAAATATATTAATATATAATTAGTATAATAACTCTATTATAGTTCTCTTCTTTAAATATATTATTTATTATTATCTATGTTGCTAGCACTATTTATTATATATTAGCCTATATTACTAATTTCTAGAACTTTTTCTCTACTCTAATATTTTATTATAATAGTACGTATACGTCTAGCATTAAGGGAACGCTAAAGTAGAAGTTTCTGCCTTCACCTGCCTTTATACACACGTGGGTGGTGTAGATGCGTGTACAAGAATGGTGGGGCCAGTGGTCAAAGCGCCGTGGGCTACTTCTATTCCTTCCCTACCCATTTATCAACCTTTCACTGTCACCTTGACACCTTGGCCTTTCAGATCAACGTCCTTGAGCGCAGCCAATATCGGGCGACTGCACCAGTATCGCGACAGGTGAGCTCAACATCGACCAAGTGAGCTTTGTCGTTCTCCTACACGATGGCCAGTCTGGCTGCTCGCCGCGATGCACCACCGCCCACGCCACCACCAAGACCACGAGGTCTCAGTGACACGCAGCTGTGGGAGGGAGCCATACAGCCAGTAGGATATATGAGGCGATATCAGCGAGCGCGAGCGCGTCGAGCGACAGCCAACACCACTCAGGCGAACGAGGATCGCACCGACAACGCTACTGCGAACCGCAAGCGACAGAGCGACCAAAAGAAAGGCCCTAGGTTATCGAAAGAACAAAAACAAGATACTGTTCGAGCATCGGTAGTGGCTAGGTAGTCTTCGTGTCGGAATCTGCAGGTTGCAGCATACATACCATTGAATCTTAACAAGTGGATAGTCTTGAAGGTAACGTATACTCCCACCCTCTCATATTCCTTATACAACGCGATAGTTGCTGTCACCCTTAGGTACCTAGGTACCGAGGTAGTTGGGTAGATGCCTATCTGTGTTAAGAATGCATGCTATTCTTCCTTCAAGGAAATTGGCACCAGATTACGCAATGCTGAGTCTCTGAATGTTGGATGAGGCGTGCTGAGCAACCCTGCAATGGATGATTGTGACACCTGATGGTGGTGATGGGTTCTAATCACGGGCGGCGCGCTGAGGTTTGCCGAGCTCTGACGGAATCTGCAAGCACCGGGGCTCCGGCGAACGCCACTTCAAATAATGATCGATTGAAGCCAGCCGAAAGAAGGCTGCGCAACACACTGCTCGTGTTATGTGCCATCTTCGAAACTCCACTTGTCTCTTGTGGCATGATGACTGGTTGTATGCCAGCCTGCGCCACTGTCTGTAGCTACGCAAAAGACACTAGAACATTAGCCTGCTAGTACATCTAGCGCAAGCCAAGGTGAGCCTGTCTGTGAGTGGACACGTAGCCCCGTTGGTGTTGCTGCCTCGCGTCAGCCTTCTTCCAACACTATGACAATATGAACGATAAGTTTTCTTTAACTTCCATCAAAGTCCGGTATGGTGTATCGGCTAGCATCCGTCGCTTTCATGAGTCAATCGTGTCAGCTTCCGACGAGAGCCGGGTTCGATTCCCGGTACCGGAAAAAAACGATCTTTTTGCCAGTCTTTTTGTCTTTGTCTTTTTGCCCACCTCATAGAATAATGCTAGCAATGTTCCCTTCCATTGTAGTATTCTGTTACATGTTGAGATGTGTTGTGAAGCCTGAATCTGCGCCTTCCGCAGCTCGAGATGGACGCTGATGCCAGCTGCCCAGTTGGTTCGGTACCGGACACACATCGTTCTTTTTGCCAATACTTCTTTTTGCCCGCAGCTCAAAACTCAAGACAGTCAGATGCTATATTACGTATAATCTGTGAGTACCCTTCAACTCTTTTTTGCATGTTCACATCTGTCGTAAGGCTCGAGTCTACGCAAAGACGGACGCTGAGGCCATGTAGTGATCCATGGATGCCATCGCCTGCCACGTGAAAGCGCGCTTCGGCGCGGGCGCGTCTGGCCTTGCAGCAACTCCCCCACACTAACACCCCAGCACAACTATCGCGTTCATGGCGAAACTCGCAACACCAGCTTCTGGCTCGAAGACATCAAACCCTTCCGCACGTACTAATGGCCATGTGCGATCTGCTGCGCTCGAAGCTGTAAGCGCACGACCACGCCACAAGCAACGCCGGCCAACCAAGCAAGCGTCTTACGAGCTCACCAACCATGCCAAAGCCTACCTCGAGGGCGGCCAATGTATGCGACACCAACTGTTGCGAATTATTAAGCTTACACTGACTAGATGCCAGCGGGTATGACTTCCTCTACAGCCTCCTCGCCGCGGGCACAAGCATATCGAGACCCGCGCAGCCATACATAGGCTTTCTCGCACCGCCGGCATACATCGCCTTCGCCTCTTCCATGGTCGCCGACCCTAGATTCACCACCAAAGCGCAATCGCGAGACGCAACCAAAGGCTCCGATGCTGCGCTACGATATCTGCAGTGCGTGCACACGACGATAGACGACCCCGCATACCCGACTATAAGGAAAGCGTTCATGTTCCCAAGAGAGCGCAACAGGAGGAGCGCCCCCAGCTACAGGGCTAGTGCAAGCTTATCACCCCAGCTGAGCAGCGACATCAAGCGAATAGCGGGCGAGGCTGCCAACGAGAAGAGCCTGTGGTATCGCGCAGACGACTTCTGGCATGCTGTGGGATGGGCGTTCAATTGCGCGATAAAGCACAAGAAACGGTGGAGTCGGTGGAAACTGTGGCTGAGGGTCATGCTCGACTTCCTCGAAGCCGATTGGGATGTCTGCGTCAAGCAAAGCAACCAAGAGGGAGCGAGCGACGAGACAACCGTCCAGCAGAGTCTCCTTTGGCACTACATAGCCGGCGACGAGACAGCAATGAATCGTGCAAAGAGGCGCCGGATCATCAGAGCTGTACTCGCAACGGCGACACCCGACTCGCTCAAAGACTACCCGGAAGTCTGGGAGAGGGAGACAGCAGAGCCGAGACGTAAAAGAAATGAAGACCAGCCAGTGGGTGAGGTTGACTTCGAGACTGGGGAGTTGGCGGATTATGGTAGCGACGAAGATATGCAGGACCCATCGGACAACGGCGGGGATGAGAGTGGCGACGACACGTCTTCGGAAACCAGCGACAAAGGGATTAGGAACGTACACGACGCCATAGAGCGCCTTGGCGGACAGGACGCGATCGAGCTGCGGCAGCGTCTCATAGCACTCGTAGGTACCTTTTTGGTCGGAGTCGACGACAACTAACAACAAACAGCTCGCCGAAGTGGCCGTGGAGCTACCGGAACTCTTCACCCGGATATATGACCTCTGCGACAACATCTTGGAAGAGTTCAGTCAGGTCCCGACTATGACCTTTCAGGTGCTTTTGTCTACGATGAAGCTACCCGACGACATTCGAGTCGCCTTCACCGCGAACCTTCTACATGGTATGATAGCCAGCAAGCCACCGAGCTTCTTTCTCCGAGACCCTACTCAACAGGATTTCGAAAAGACTCTTCTTCCACTGAAAGGAACAACGCAAAGCTTTGCAGCAAACACCAAGATCTCACTCATACTGGAACAGTTGTTCATGCACATGATGAAGAACAATGCTCTTGCTCCTAATCCAGCTCTTCGCAAGGCTATGGAGGCTGGTATCCAAGCGCGACGTAGTGTATATGGTACGGGTAAAGGCAAGAGAGGCAACGCTGAGGAAGAAGAGCAAGCGAAGAAGCTGCTACAGGAAAGCTCGGACAGGCTGTTGGGATTGCTTGAGGTATTGGAGATGGCTCATGGTAAAACTCCGCAGTCGACAAGAGTGAAGGAATCCGCACTGCTCTCTTTTGGTTCGGGTTCGTCGCTTTCTCCTGCGCCTGATAGCGAGACCGAGCCTGAAGACTGAAGAGGAAATTAATAGTATTTCCTCAGGAATCTCGAGGCCGCTTGCTATCAACCAAGAAGCAGCAAACTGGACGACACTGAGGTTTGGGCACTCAGTCCCGCCTCGTTTGCGCTACCACGTTTTCGATACCCAAACAACCACACAATGAAATACTGGCGTATTCGTTTTCAACCGCGCCGCAACAACATTTAATTACGAGCTTTCATCTCCCTCGGTACCCCGTGCACGGTCGCACTGGCCCCATGTCTGTCTTTATTTCGTCGGATATGCAAAACTAACAATTTACTGACACCCATTGGTACACTCGTTTGCGGAGCACGGCCCCCACCTGCTTTACTTTCGGTACCAGCTTCTCGACAAGTACACCAATACCCGTACAATCCACCGAGCAAAGCCGCAATGGCTCCTAAACCTCCGCCCAAGTCCAGACCCACGCAGATCGCTGCGATGAAGGAACGGAGAACTTTGCGCACTCTGATCGTACGCTAGCTTGAGGATCATGCGTAAAAGTGGCTATGCTGACAACGAGTCTAGACCGACACTATTACCGAGATTGAGACGTACATCAAGGACCAGCAACAAAAGAGTCTGAGGTTCAGGTTGAACTCGATAGGACTGCGAGTCGACCGCTCAACAGCTTCCACGTCATCATCGACTCCCATACGACTCATCCAACCTGGGGCAGAGGATATACTCCTCGGTGTACGGAGACAGTCTTTGAAGTCTACACTGCTCGCGGAGCAAACACCACACCCGCAGATCAATCAAGAAGACGAGTGGCTCACGTTGCAAGAATGGTTGACTCGATGCTATGGAATTGCCTCTCATCTGGAAGATGAGCCTGACGATTCAAAGAAAGAGTCTCTAAAGCACGCAGTGGCAGCGTGCATCCGTCATCGGCACCGCACCGACTTCGAATTCTGGAAAAAGACGGCCAATGTTAACGTATGTTTGAACCTATTAGAGCAGGACATATCCTCATATAGCAAGCATGACCTTACAGACCACCCTCTGGGGGGCCCTTCCAGGAAAAAAGCCGACCGCCACGAGTCAGAGTCCGCAGAGCCTCCAAGACTTACTCATGAAATCGCTCTGGAGATTGATGTACACCCCCGTTGGACACCGTTTCTCACTTGGATGGCCGAAGATCTTGAGTCACTCAACCCCGCTCCTCTTACAATGGCCGACTGGTGGAAGTCCAACGGCCAAGCTTTCCAGTTCCTCGACCTTCCCGAAGAACTCCGATACCTCGTATACGATCAAGCCATCGGCCCCTACATATGTTTGTCGCTGAGCAAGGGCGACTCCGACGGAAACCAGCATGTCAGATTGTCGCGCCCCAAGCGCCGCTGCGTAGACATACATCGCTTTGGAAAAGTCGGTGTTGGCGAAAGCGAATACCAAATCCAACCGAACATACTTGCTCTCACCTGTCAGAAAATCTGTTATGAAGTCAGAAAGGCAACATGGGAGCGCACGACAGCACTGCTCAACGGGTATCATCACCCTTCCATATGCCCCACTTATCCTCATGTCTTCATCCCCTACCATGCTATGCGTCGTATCGAGCTCAACCTCTCCACGTCGGATTACTTCCGCTTCCTCGGCCTAAAGTGCGAACGTCATCAGGGTTTCGTCGAATTGGACAACGAGATGACACCCGCAATCGCACAACTGCGCGAGATACCAACGTTGTTCCATCTACATCTCCACTTCACCACCCGTCCGCCTATACGGATTGGTCCTGGTAATACGTGGAGGTCATTGGACCCTTGGCTGAATATCGCAGGGAGTAGGGGTACCAAAGTAGTCTCGTGTCAGAAGGTCTTCGTTCACTGGTTCTTCACACTGGCGTGGGCGGATATCAGACATATACCCCGAGTCACGTTCTCTGGTCATGTTAAGAGACGGATACGAATGATGTGGGAGTTCAACTTTGCTCTTAGTACTCTAGACAAACGGAGTGATTCCAAGGCTGGATCAATCGCACGGATACAGGCTACGCCGTGGCAAAGACTGTAGGTAACCCACCCTGAAAAATGGTGTTGACGTTGCTAACGACTCACGTAGGCCCCCGGTATGCAAGTGCGAAATACCTTGCGATTGGTGGAACGTCCGGGGCCCGTATCTTGAGGGCCAGGATCCGAATTTTCAGCCTGGTGCTAAGGATGTTTATGATTACGACTTCGATCCTGAGGAATTCGATCGATTCGATTGCATGGACTGGGATCATCCGCGACCGTCATATTGGCGTTGTCAGTAGGTATCAAAGGGGCTACGGCTTTAGCGCATATGAACTTAGTTGTACATCTTGCGCAACGCGCATTTGTTAGCATCCTGTCTACCAAATATCATAAGAGAAGCTCTTCTTCCTTTGCTACTTGCCCCGTGCTCCTTGTTTCCTACGCGCCTACCCTCATCTTCACCTTACTTTGATAGTAATGTCTTAACATCCTTTGAACGGATACAAGCACAGCTCACTAGGCTGATTGAAGCTTTGAATCAATCTCAGTATACAGCTGAAGCTGCAATAATGACATCATCTACTACATGCAGAGCGGCAGACACGAAAAGTCTTGCGAGGGGAAGATAGAACGTATAAACGATAGTATTATATTACATCACCTTGGCAATGTGGGTATATAGAGCAATGAGCCTGCCGTTAAGAACACGTTCCCTGCGGCAGACTACGCTGAGCACATCATACAGCGAACAGTATACCGCTTAGAAGACGTTACCCTTAGTCTGCTTGCCATTCTCCTCCTCAAGCTTCTTGACGTTGATGTTCTTCCAAATGTAGATGCTAGCCAAGCACAGTGGTACAAAGCACGCACCAGTGATGACCATCTTGCGTTGCACATCGGCATAGGCACCGACAACGGCATCGCGCTCTGGCGTACCATCGAGGAACGATTGCTGCAAGGTGATGTTTCCGAAAATCGCCCTGTATTCGGGCTTGCTTTCCTCGGGCAGGCGCATGAGTAACTGTCCAGGGAGGATGTTGTTCCACATGCCACCGGCGATGGCATATCCGATGGATGAACCGAAGCTGCCAAAGAGACCCCAAACGGCGTTGACGACGGCGATTTCTTGGTGAGTGACGGGAACCATGACGGCGAGCTGGGCGCAGGTGGCGAAGAAAGCCGTACCGAGACCGACGAGTACTTGAGTGAAGGCGAGAACACCGGGGTTGGTGGAAGGGTTTCGGAAGGGGATCAGGAGAGCAGTACCGAGGAGAACAATGGGTACACCAGTGTAGGCCGTCCACTTGAAATTACCGGATTTGTGAATCCACCATGCGATGAGCGGACTGAATGTCGACGAGGTAAGCGAGAAAGCGTTGAGGATATATCCAGCGTGGGGAATGCTTTGCCTGTGTACGACGAGCAAGTAGGAGTAGAAGTATCCGTTCCAGCAGAAGACGGACAGGAACATGACGCAGTAAAGCAGGCAGGAGCCAATGATGGTGCCGTTCTTGAGGTACTTCCAGGGTAGGAATTGGACGGGCGCAAACTTGGCTTCCCAGATGTAGAAGACGGGGAAGAGGCAGAGTCCGAGGACGATGCAGGCGATGATATACGGGGTGTTCCAGCCCTGGGGCGCGTAGGCGACGAGACTGAAAGGCAGAACAAAGAGACTCCACGCGCACATGATGAGGACAATGCCAAGGACTGGGTCGCGCGTTAGTAGCTATACGGGTAAACCTTGAGATGAGTGTGTAGCTTACTGTCGAATTGTACGGCGTAGTACCACAGCGATTGGAGGAAGTTACGATCCGACTTTACGTTCTTGACGAGACCAGCCAACCTAGCCTTGCGGTACATGATCATCATGAGCACCAACGCGGGAGCGCAGCAACCGACGAAGATGATAATGAATGCACCGAAAGCCCATCGCCAGCTGTTCTGGTAGTAGAACATGTCGGCGATCACAGGTGCGGCGAAAGTGCTTGCGATACGAGGAGTTCCGTTGAGGGTGAAGATGATCATGCGGTTCGTTAGGCTGGTGCAATCCGCGGCCATGATGTCGGCAACAAATAAAACACCAATGTGACCAGCCCAGTAGAGGACGTGACCGGCGATGTAGGTCTGTACGTTGGTGCAGGCGGCCTTCATAGCCATACCGGCGACGACGACGAGCAGCATGAAGAAGAAACCCTCCACGCGACCAAAGATATCGATGACCTTGGCAATGACGAGAGGAAGGCAGCCACCGAGCGCAGTTGCCATTACGCTTCCGACGTTCAGGAGACCGTGTGTACCGAATGCCGAAGTGATGAAGGGGTTGAGCGCGGCGTCAATGCCATTCTGCAGGAAAGCGACAAACTCGATAAGGTAAATGCTACACGGACAGGTCAGTCTTTGAGTTTCGCGGTTTGAGCGGTATTGAAACATACAAGACCAGCATCGTAATCAACGTCTTCGTGCTCCAAATCTCAGTGATTGCGCGCACCCGCTGGACACCGTTCTGGAAGGTTTCCGATTCGACAGACTTGGTCTCTCCATCGCTGCCAGTCTCGTGGGCATTGAAAGCTTGATCGCCATTCTTCTCCATGTCGATATCTCTTGAGGGACGACCAAAGCCCTCTACAGGTCGCACGGCGTCAGTCGCAGCCAGGTTCGACATGGCAAAACAAGGATGCCGGAAAAGTGCCGGGCAGGGCAGGGTATGAAATTGGGATGCAGGTGAGCGACGATCGTAACACAGGCAGCGCTGCCATACTTAAGTATACCCTCGGCCCACTCTCCGAAGACCGGACAGGGAATGTCAGCGCAGTTACAGCGTCTGAAAAATTTGCCATGTGTATCCCACCCGGTGGCTTGGGATCATCTCCCACTGTGCAGGTATCTCGTATGCCCAGAGAGCATTAGGCGCGGCTAGATGATCAGATAAGTGCTAGATGATCAGATAAGATCCAATCTCGCTGTGAGCTGATTGCTGGCTCGTCTTGGCTGTGCCGCAACTCTGCATTGCCAAGGTCTTGGCCCGGGTTGTCAGTGGCGGATGGAGCTCCCGGCTCATCGAAACGAGCAGTGTGCGCCGAAGCTTCAATTCCGTGCGGGACCAACCTGAGGGTCTCGCCTTGTGGATGGAACCGTACGAGGAAGAGCATCCTCGTTGAACAAGCGCGTCGTGGTTGCATGATCCAGTTTCGCGCCGTTCCTGGCGTCTTCTAGCTGGCGACACTAGCAGCCAGCGTGGGAACTCCATTGTGAAGAGGCCCGACTGTTCACGAGCATGAGCAGAAACTTCTTCGCGTCCAAATCTTTGCTTGTGGCTGTTTTAATGGAGACATGTGGCTTTCGTAGTGCTGTTGCAGGATCATGAGGTGGATGTTGTTGGGAAAGAGCTCTCCCCTCATGACAGCTAGGAAGCGGCGCTAGCCGGTCTTGCTGGTCACGATGACATCTAATCTTATCAGATCATCGCATCTAGCTCGGCTGAAGCGGCCATTTGACAGGAACTGGCCACCTTCCGCGTTAGACGGTGGGGCATGGAATGAAGAGTCGGGTCCTGCAGGGTCGTGAGGGGCCGTTGTGGTATTGGAGACGCAGCCACTATCACCAATGCCCCACTGTCTCCTGGTCGCCACGATGTTCTGTCGCTTCCCTCTCCTAATCTTTCGTGGCGTCCGAGAATGCACTTAAAGCGGTACAGTCTGGAAGAAGTGTTTTCCTTCAAAACTGTGGGTATTCGTATGAGGGATTTTCAGGTACACGGCTGCGGCGACGAGCGCGTTGAAGCCGCGTCATGACTGTGGTCGACCCGTACGGACATGACTCCGCTGCGCAGCATATGAACAGCCATTAGGATATAGGTCGCACGATATACTGCTTTACTTAGAAGTCGTCGACGGGAACAACCCCATAGACGTTATCTATAGCACACGAGTTGTCAAAGGTCAAAGCCATGCATGCCTAACACAGATTCTGTGACCTCAGCACACGCAATTGCTGAGTTATGCGAATGTAGGAGCTGCTGTCATGCGAATAGCAGACACAACGTTTGCAGCTGCTTAGGTCAAGATAAAGATTCTCTCAGATATTTGGTACGCCGTTGTACCTACAGCTTCCCTGACATCTACACTTCGATGTAGGTACCTAGGAATGCGCTTTTCACGTGATAGCATCGGAAGGAAACGGGTCCAGTTGTATTCAAGGGTTGATGCTAGTGGAACCCATCCCACGGCAGTACGGTACAGTCTCAAAAAGCGATTGTTTCTAGTTTGCAATAGGCAATGCAGTAGTCTATTCTGTGTTGGATGTTTCGTGATTGATGGCGTGTTACGGAGTGACCTCGGAATGCGGGATCGGAACTGGGAATGATGAGGGGGTCCGCTCACGTGTGGCTTCCAAGGCTGGCTAGCTTCGACTCTTAGGGCAACGAAGACGCGCCAGCTCCTTCTTTCACTCTTCTACGGCATCTAGTAATTTACTAACATCCCTCTGGGGATGCGATCATATCATGTCTCGATGTATCTCGTGTCACAACCTCGAATGCTCGCGCGAGAACAGCGAAAGACTATCCACGCTCGGTACAACAATCTGTCCCGCAACCGGGTCAATCGAGCATCGACTTGCCAAATTAAATGAATCGCAAGCTGCAGCCGAAGATACTATACTCATCAATGTGCACCTTCATCGTACGGTTTGTCAATTCAGATCAGAGGCACCGATCACATCTTCTCATCTCTAGTACCGTCGTTGTCGCACACTGGATCTCAAACCTGCTTCACCTGCAGTACAGACGAGCTACCGATGGTGGTGAACACATTCCAAGGTTGGCTACCAACTACCTCCGCTTCATCTATTCCGTGTCTCTCTCAAAGCGCTGCATTCCGTTATGGTGCATCGGTCGTACTGTTGTATGCCTGAGGCAGAAAGAGCTGCATCACTGTGATACGGACAGACTTCTTGTTACATTCGAGAAATCGCAATAGTCCCAACACTAGCTCGTGCATCTCTCTTCTCTACATCGGGAGTACAACAAGAAGAATGAGAAATTACTTGGTACGGTCACGG